GCTCCCTCTACCCAAGTATCTCTTTTCTTGCTCTTTCTCTATTCTTCCCTCGCCTCCGTCTTCCCGATCCCTCATGTTCTCCTTTGCCCCTCTCCTTCCTCCTACCTCCCTCCCCACTCCCCAGTGTTCCCAATTTGCTCAGGAGATCTTGATGTGACACATTTTCCAAACTCTCATATTCTGAGAGCATAACACAGTGTTTACTACATGGACACATGCACACACACACACACACACACACACACACACACACACACACACACCTGTTCTTTGGGGGACAAGCATGTGAGTGTTATGTGGATTCTGAGAGTTGAGAGAAAGAAAACTAATATGGATTTCCTTACCTCTTCTGTCTTGACTAAAATTCATTCCTGAACCTCCAAGATATAAGCTCTTCAAGGACCTGAAACCAATCCAGTTAGGAAAATGAAACATTTTATTGCACAGTTCATGTGAATTTCTTTACCTTCCTTCAATTTTATGGCAGGACAAGAAACCCTTATTCTATCAGTTGTGAGGGCTCAACTGTTAGCTTGTGTCTCTGAATCTGTGACATGTTCCTTAACTATGAGCTCAGTTGCAAAGTGAGTACTTTATAAATCATAGAAATAAAAACGCACTTTACCTTTTCTATCTTTGTAGGTGGGTGCATCAAGAATTTCTGGGGAGTTGAACATTTCTTTCACAACACCGTGCAGGAAGTGGTTTATCATTTTATTTTGAGTTGATGTTCCTGGTAATAACATTCACATACCTAGGACAGAGAGGCAATTGTTTAGCTGTCACCCCAAACTTAGTCATTCCATTGATCTGACATCAGAAAGTGCTTATCCTATTGATTTAGTGTCAGATGGGTGGTATAATAGTAATAACGGGCTTTGATTGACAGCTTGAGTTGACAGATTATCAAGTCCCAGTTTCCCTCAGCCAAGCTGCTGGCAGGTTTGGAACATTACCTTGGAGGCACAGATCCACTTGACCTTTAACTTTGTATTACATGTGCTAAATTCAGTCCTCATATGATGACATTGTAAAGGCTCCCAATTCAGTTTATTTAAAACACTTAGGTGGAGAATCAAGAATTATCTAAATTTAGGGAGGAGCATTAAGAATAAGATAAACAAACATTATTGATTTTCAGGTGTGGTGATACATACATGAAATCCCCATGTTACCTTAAAAAACAAATGCAAAATAAAAATAAAACCAAGCCGGGCGTTGGTGGCACATGCCTTTAATTCCAGCACTCGGGAGGCAGAGGCAGGCGGATCTCTGTGAGTTCGAGACCAGCCCCGTCTACAAGAGCTAGTTCCAGGATAGGCTCCAAAACTACACAGAGAAACCCTGTCTCGAAAAACCAAAAAAAAATGCAAAATAAAAATAAAACTAAACAACAACAAATGAAGAAATGTTTCATGCTTGAATAAGTGAACTGACACCTATGGCTTGTGTGCTAAGTGCTTAGAAAGGTGGTTACAGATGGTGAGGTGGTTCTGGCCTGGACTTCTCAGTCATCTAGAGAGAGACTGTAACAGCACCCCCATCTTTGTCACTGTGGCAGATATTCCAGGTTCTGGGACACTGATCAGAATATAGGAGGGTAGGCAAGTGATTATGTAGTTTGAAATTAGGGGTGCCTGCAAGAATCCTCACCCAACTCTCCACAAGGTTGTAGTTCAGGGATTTCCCCCGTGGTATGCTCCTGGGCCAGCAGCAGCAGCATCCCCAGGGGGCTGTGAGAAATGACAGTTTTCTGCTTCTGTTGAGTCCTAAGCAATGAGGATCTGTAGTTTAACAAGATCCCCAGGTGATTCTCATTAAAGTTTGAGGAGCATTTGTTTTAAGAGTTTCATCCTCTTCAGATGCAAATTTCTTAAAGTAAAATCTTTCCTAGGACTACAGGAGGTTAAACTCTAGGTTTTAGTTTCTTAACTAAACATTCAGTCTTTAGAAGGTCAGGGTTCTCAGCTTTAGGCAATAGAAATATGTTTGGGTTGAGCTCAGTGACTTACTAGAAAGCATTGCAGAGTTCTCAGATTGACCAAGAAGGATCAGGAACAAGGCTGATAAACAGGGGGTGCTAGTTAGCTGGCTCTGTAGCCAAAACTATAGCAGACAATCATTGTGATGAGGTCATTGCTGCTACAACAAGCCAGCTTGTACCAGCTCGTGAGGGCCAATTGCCTGACTCGCTTCTGGGCATTCACAGAGGCCTTGTCCATTTGGATGCTTGAAATCAGCTATACAGAGAGCTTTTCCACTGTAAAACCCAGCAAGTGCTACAAATCAGGACTCTTTTTGAGAACTGATTTACTAGTGTACTGCTGTACTAAGTCTATTACCAGAAACTAGCCCTGCTTCTCTTGGTGATTCGATGCTATAGACACAGCAGATGTCAACATGGATATTTACCTGCACTTTATTGTTTTTTTATTTTTATCATTAGCCCAAGAGAAGTGTCATGGAAGCCTCAAGCCAGCAATTCCTACTTTGGGCTGTACAGTGGAATTACCTGGAAAACCTTAAAAAACCAAAACAAAAACCCAAAACAAACAAACAAAAAACCCAGACAGATGCTTGGCTTCCTTCCTCAAAATTCTGATTTAGCTTATTTGGATGAGAGATTATCAAAGTGTGGACCAGCAGTATAACTTAGAAGCTCGTGAGCAATAAATTCAGGGGCCCCACCCCAGACTCTCTAATAAATTCTAGAGATGGAAACTACTTATTTGAGTTGTAGTGAGTCCTCTCGATGACCTAATGGAGCTAAAATTCAAGTTGATTTTTCTGCAGGATGATAGATATGGGTCTCATTTCATTCCAGTTTTCCCAGTATGCTTGTATTTTTGTGTGGCAGTAATTTAGTGCACTTATGTTTGGGTCTTCCTATTTTGTTCCATTGATTCACATGACTGTGTTGGTGCCAGTATGAAACTGGCAGCTACAAGATGCAACACTTTCCAAGAGTAGTACTCTCTCAAAGAGGACCATATACTTGCAGGTGCACTTGGAGGCCAGAAGAGAGCACCAGATGCCCTGAAGCTGGAATTACATGCAGTTGTGACCTGGCCAACATGGGTGCTGGGAACTGAACTTAGGTCTTCTGAAAGTACAGGATCTTTTAACCATTAAGCTATTTTTCCAGCCCCAACAATCATGATTTAAACAAATGGAAGTGAAGCAGTTTTGGTCCATGGCTGAGTCTGTGAAATACTTATAAAAACCCCAACCAAAATAGGTTCTGAGTTTGGCATGTAACTCAGTGGTAGAAGGTTTCTGTAGTATGTAATAGATTGTAAGATCAAGATTCACTACGTGTGTGTGTGTGTGTGTGTGTGTGTGTGTGTGTGTGTGTGTACGTCTGTCTCTGTGTGTTCTAATTTCAAGATCATAGCAGTATATACCTGGGAATTTTCAATGAACATTCATAATGCCCCTGATCTTGAAAATACTCCAAACTCTCATAAACTGGGAGTCTTTAGTATCTTTATTATGTGTATTTGTCTATGCTTAATTAAGATGAAATAGAAAAAGAAATAAATACAAAGAAATAACTTAATCTTGTTTCAGTTTTCATTAGATTTTTTTGAGACAGGGCTTCTCTGTGTAGCTCCGGCTGTTCTGGAACTCAGCATGTAGATCAGGCTGGCCTCAAACTCACAGAGATCAGCCTTCCTCTGCCTCTTGAGTCCTGGGATTAAATGTCTGCACCACCACTTCCTGGTTCAGTTTTTATTAGATCTTTAAGAATTTATTTATTTATTTATTTAGTGTGTGTGCATATATATAACATGGTACAGACTGAGCAGTTGTATTTTGGAATACATATTATTCATGTTTATGTTTATATTTATATATATGTATGACCTGACCATACACACACACACACACACACACACACACACGTTCCTGTAACACAATTAATGAAAAAAAGCCACAAAAAGGGGCATATGGGAGGGATTGGGGGAGAGAAGAAATGGGGGAATGTTGCAAGTAATTATATTATAATCTCAAAACCAAAAAGAAATAATTTAAATAAGAAAAATCTTGATGGAAGGAACTGGAAAAAGTGGTATTGGGAAGATGTCATGATTATTTTGAAATTAGCAACATAAGTGCTGGAGAGATAGCTCAGTGGTTAAGAGCATATAACCCGAGTTCAGTTCCCAGCACCAGTATCAGGCAGCTCACAACTGCCTGGAAGTCCCACTCCAGGGGAGTTGTTGTTCCATTTTGGACTTCTTGGGCACTGCACACACAGGCACATATCCCTTCCTCTGCCATGTATATACATAGTTTAAAAAGGAGGCAGAGGCAGGTGGATCTCTGTGAGTTCGAGACCAGCCTGGTCTACAAGAGCTAGTTCCAGGACAGCCTCCAAAGCCACAGAGAAACCCTGTCTCGAAAAACCAAAAAAAAAAAAAAAAAAAAAAAAAAAAAAAAAAAAAAAATCTTAACCTTAACAATGTAGCTCTAATTTCAAAAGCCTGTGTGTGTGTACGTATGCATATTTGGGGATGTGCGGGTGGAGGCTACAGATGAATCTTGGATGTTTTGTTTTGTTTTGTTTGTTTTCCCTTTGGGTATCATCCACTTTGTTTTTTTTTGAGACAAGGTTTCTTACTAGCCTGGAGCTCACAGACTTGGCTCAGTGGGTTGGCCCTTGAGTCTCAGCAATCCACATTTAAGCCCATCTCTCAGATGAGGAAGTCAAGCTGTTGAGGAAATTGTCTATACTCTTAAGTGGTAGACTTGAGAAATAAATGTAGAATTTGTTTGTTCAAGATAAGTTTTAGGGCTGGGGATGAAGTTTGATGGTAGAGCAATTACCTACCACATTTGAGACCTTGGGTTCAATCTGCAACTCCACAAAACAAAACAAGACAAAACAAAACAAAAGGCAAATCTTAAGTCCACAATTTGCTCTTTCTGTTTTGTTCTGATTGAGGGGAAAAACAAAGTGAAGTTTTTTTTATTATCCTTTTGTTTGTTTTTCATAGGAAAAATGTGGATGGAATCACACTACAGGAAAGAACAAAGGCAAAAGAAAGACCCGGAAGATGAGCCAGTTGATCCTGAGGCTAAATGAGGTGTTTTTGCTCAAAAGTAGTTTTAGCAGTGGTTGCGAAAGAAACATGCTGACAGCTGAGGGAAGACTTCTGGGTATAGTTTAAATGCTAATTGGCTCCTGGTCCCTGGTGGTACAAAGTTCAGTGTGATTTAGATTAACTGTGGCTGGGGGAAGGCATTATGCCTAGTTTTAGCAGTGACTGGTTACAATTTACAGGCCTGGGAACAGGAAGAAATGCTTAAAGCTTGACTAGTTTTGTTTGACATACTGCTTTCTCTTCAAGGAAAGACAAGTATGATTTTATTTTATCAAGAGAAAACTGAGACACTAGAAGGTTCTGGAATTTACCCCAAATCGTGGAGATGATCGTGTAGCCGAGTTGATTGACATTTTCTGACTCTAATACCGTGGTACCTAGATCCAGGTGGGGATTTATGAATAGTTATGTCTCAGTTATTATAAATTATACATTTCATTTGTATTGATTGATCCTAGAGCAGATCAACATTTTTGTTTATTGATTTAAATAAGCATTTATTGATTGTTGAGTACCAGCTCAGAGATTTTGACTTAGTTGATGTATGGTGTGGCTTGTTATTGGGGATTTTTTTTTAAAAAAAGTATTAGATTTTGACTTAGTTGATGTATGGTGTGGCTTGTTATTGGGGATTTTTTTTAAAAAAAGTATTTCTGGTGTGCAATAAGATGATAACTCCTGTGCTAGAAAACTCTCTGTCTCTTGCCCACTTTTAGGGCACTTTTGAGAACATGAAGCCATAAAGAAATCAACTCATTAATCTGTTAGCATAACAGCAGGCCAGGGAGTAACCTGGCAAACTAATACTTACAAATGGGAAACAAATTTTACACTCTGTTAAGTTTGGAGACTAGCTTTATCTTTCACACATCCAGAGACCATCCCAAGTCTGTCACAACTAAGGAGTAAATGCTGGCTAATTTCTAACGTCAACAGTTGGACTTTTTGCTTTTGTTTTTAGAGATAGAGTTTCTCTGTGTAACAGCTGGCTCTGGAGACCAGGCTGGCCTCGAACTCACAGAGATCCACTCACCTCTGCCTTCTGAGTGCTGGCTGGGATTAAAGGTGTGTGCCACCATTGCCTGGCTTCAGCTGGACTTTTATTGGTTCTTGAATGCCGTGGCAGTTGGTATGCAAGTCTGATAGATGCAATCAGAAAATAGTTCTTCAATTTCTGCAGATGTGTTTGTTCTTCAGTTCTAACATCTGTAAAATTGAGGATGACAGAACCAGCCTTCTAGGCCTAGGACTAGATTCTGTAAGTTTGTGTACAGAATCTAGAACCCTCCTTGACACAAAAAGTGGTTCTTATACTCCAGGTAGTATAGTCTCCTAGCTTTGTCTACCTTATTGGACTTAGAAGCTTAACTAAAGCATTTAGGAGCTGAGATATTTGGTAAATCATGAGCAACAGCACTTCAGAGGCTAAGGCAAGAGGATCATAAGTTCTAGGCCATCCTAGGCTGTGTACTGAGACATTGTTTCAAAGCACAAAACCCAAATCCAAAGCAAAACAAAAACTAAACAAACAAGCACACACCGTAAATGGATACTGTGCAAATAATAGCAAAATCAGTGCCCCAATTTAACATAAATGCAAATTTGTCTTCATTCCAGGAGAGGTATAAAGTATTTTTGTTTAACTGAAATGACATTAGCCAGAGGTTAGTTCAGTTCATCCTAACATACTCAATACAAATTCTACTTGAAGTTTATATTTTAAAATACAAATAATGCTAGATAAGCATTTCATTATTCGAGGTTAGAATTCGTTGTGTAATTGAGTTGCATAGACATAAATCGAGAAGCCAAGAGTGTTTGTATTAACTTTCATCTTGTTCTTTCTTCACGGGATTTTGTCCCTTTCCTGTGATCTCTGTTCCTAGGTGTCACGTGATGGTAGTCCCTCTGCTTTGGGTGCATTGTTATTCTTTAAAGTGTTCCTTTATCTTGGTAAAATATGCTTTGAGTGGTTGAGGAAAATAGAATTCCCGTCACTTAAAAGGAAGGGCAAAGAGAAATCTAGAAATGTTTCATTTTCAATGTATATGCTTTTATTCCGAGACCTCATGGCAGTAAATAAAGAACATTGGAAGAACAGCAAAAAAAAAAAAAGAAAAGAAAAGAAAAGAAAAAAGGCACCACAGCACCATGTCTTGTCACGTTCTGCTTGCCCCTACACCTGATTTCAAATGTAAATTGCACGGCATTTAGCACTAATGAAAATACTCTAGTGAAGGAAATTGTTAAGATTTTCTGGTGCTCCCCTAGGGGTAATATTAAAACCCCTGTTACTAACATCTCACTCCAAGAAGACAAAAATGTGCACTGAGAATACAAAAGCCCTGTTGGCATCTAAATGTGGGCCAATTAATTTGCTGTTATCGACGTGTGGCTTTGCGAGGAGATGTGAAAGTAGGGCCCAGGAAAGCTATTGAGATCTCTGTATTGCAGGGCTCCTTGACCCTGGAATTTTCAAAGCTTGCTTAATCATGACATTCTGCTTTCTATTTATTTATACAGTTGCTTCAATGAACAAATTAATAATTATACAGCACATTGACAAACATGCCGGGTAATATTTGCCAGATTTTAAATTAATTTAATTCAAGGGCCACTTCATTTGCAGGATTCATCCGCACATCAGGCATCAGCCTTACCTCGTTGCTATTCATGCTACACCAAGATTTGTCATCATTTTCCCCTTCTTTTCTTCTTTGCAGACAAAGACAGCACAACTTGCCATGCCAAATAAATAGACACTAACAAGCAGGTGGAAGACAGATAGATGACAGACAAATAGGAATATAGATAAATGCACAGATGACGTAAATTTAGAAGGGAGGATAATAGCTGTCCCTATGATGTGTGGAAAACAATTAGAATCCACTAAGATCTTGGATTTATTTTCTCTTTAGCTCCAATTTGCAATTTATCTTCTCTTGTTTCATATCCACACGCCTTCTTCACAATTTACAGACTGGAAATTCAAACGAAAAGCTCATAGTTTGAGAAATGATTACTTTTCTTGGAAACAATGACAGAAAAATCATATGAAAATTTAGCTTCTCGGATTTGGGAAGCCAGGCAAGATTTCAGGTTGCTTTGCATATCAGTAAGGCTTGGGCCAAAGTTAATGAGATTGGATTGTATAAGAGGGGCCAGCTGATTTTAGAGACATTGCAATCAACTCACCAACCATAGTTGAATTTGTATTTATTTTTAAGAAAGAAAAAAGTTTTAATTGAATTGTGATGTATTATAATATATGCAGTTACAGGTAAAGATGAAACTTTGGCCCTTAAGAACTTAAGACTGCTACCAAGCAAACTAATGAACCAGAACCTTTATTACTGGTGCCAGCATGGAAAGATGATTGACTGAGCTAGGGTTTATACCTTTAAAACGAGGTCTGGACACCAGATACATTATGTTATATTCATGGACAATAATAAAATGAATCGAATGGAGTATTAAGTGGTTACCTTAAACAAGAGAGCCATAAACTAGATGCTAGGTAATGACCTTGGAAGTTGTTTCTTATACAGCTGGCATTCTAGGATTTGGGGCATTAGTTGATCCTTGTCGGGCCACAGCCTTTCTGAATGCATGGAAATCAATCATCAGAAGTTCATGTTGAGGGAGAGATCTGAGATATTTCTATAAATATTTCTCCCATATTGTTGTTTATCCTGTATGTGGATCAATACCTATCTGAAGATTTTGCATGCTGTCACATCAAGAGATACTGACTTCTTCTCCTGGATGTGTTTCTTCATTACACTTAGTTTAGATTTTCCATGTTGGGATGGGGGTGGGGAAGCCACAGCATAGTGTTGCTAAAGGTAAATCTTTTCTCTTGGGGGGAATAAATAACAATTTATACACTATTTTGCCAATGTGCATAATTGTTTGTCTGTCCAGGATAAATTATTCCTATAATGCTGTACTTTCATTTTCTAAGCAGAGAAAGCTATTTAGGTGCAGTGCTATAAGGTGGCTCTTTTTTTTGTATAAAAAATGGAGCCACCATTTAGAGAAAATCAGGCAAAGTCTAGCCTGATAATTTTAGTGCAAGCAGGCTTTTGCTTCAGTACCCGAGATAATTGTCTCAATCTCCTTTTTACTCTGCAGGGTCACAGATGTCAAAAGGCATTCCCACATGCAAGTGGAAATTGTACAATACATAGCCCAGAAATTATGTGTCTTTTACTTAAAAAAATCAGGTAGACCTATATGCCACAATAATTATAAAAATTATACTAGCATTTATTTGGTTATATTAATATGCTATTTGTATTAACTAGTTTTACTAATTACCTAATTACTGCCCGCTAGGGTAATTACTTATCTTGATTAAATGAATGTTGAAAGGTGAACTCACAGGCATGAATTTGGTAATCATATTCCTATCTAGAATAATAATGCTGAGGGCAGATGCTCAATCCATTTAGTAGTCTCATTGATTGTGGAGCTAGAAGGAGTTTTTAAGGTGTAGTTCATAAAACAAGTGTAACTAAATAGAAGATTGAAGAAAATAGGTGTACATTAGAAGCACTTACTGGTGTTTCCTTTGATAAGAGTGGAACATTAAAATGAGTGATTTGAAAGTCACTTTAAAAATGCATAGTGAAAAAGCAAAGACACTGGCACCAGATGGACTTGAGATTGAATCTTAGCTTTATATGGCTTTGGAAGGCAACTTTGTCTCTGGTAGTCTTATTTTCCTATTCTGTCCAATTAGGATATTGTATTCAATATCAGCTTCTAGTGCTGTAGAAATGAGTTAGTCAAATAATGACTATAAAGTGTCTAGAACCAATGAAGCATCTTTAAAATCTACACATACTTCTCTAAGATTCAGGATTTATAAGCTTGACATACTATTTAATTATCAACAGTAACTCAACTTTCGAGATGGAAGTTATTAGAATCACTAACAGTTCGAAGAAGAGAGTAGTCCCGTAGCAAGTGTGTCACCACAGTTAAACTCCAGTGTCATCAGTCATATGATGTCCTGGTTATATGACATAGGTATACATTTCAACATAGATGCCACCCATATGAATATATGCATCCCGAAGGCAGAGACTTGGACCCTTTTGTCTAATACTGTTTTCAGGATTTATAATAAACAAAGTGTAGTCTGCTTAAGAAGTATTGTTGAAAAATTATGGAATTAATGACTGGTTATCTAGGTGTTTGTATAATAAATGTGTTTTACCTTTTGTGTTCCCCATGGTTCTGAGTTCTGAAGGTCATTTTGTACATTGGTGTTCCAAATCTATAAGATGGATGGGCAGTGGTGGTGCATGCCTTTAATCCCAGCACTCAGGAGGCAGGGACAGGTGGATCGCTGTGAGTTTGAGGCCAGCCTGGTCTCCAGAATGAGTGCCAGGACAGGCTCCAAAGCTACACAGAGAAACCCTGTCTCGAACAACAAAACAAAACAAAACAAACAAAAAGAAAACCAAACCTGTAAGATGTTATCAGTGTGGGCAGCTTTTGCATGTGATAGCAGCTGCTGTGGTCTGCTATGGATTATACTGCCCA